AAACATATATATATATATATACATACATGCATACATATATATATATATACACAGACAGACAGACAGACAGACGGACAGACAGACAGACAGACAGACAGACAGACAGACAGACAGACAGACAGACAGCCAGACAGACAGACAGACAGACAGACAGACAGACAGACATACACACATCCATCCATCCATCCATCCATCCATCCATCCATCCATCCATCCATCCATCCATACATACATACATACATACATACATACATATTTGAATACATTACTACAGAAATGAATGCAATCATGCATTAATTGATTAATCAATTCATGAATGAACTTTCGGGGGTCCGCCCTGGCGGCGCCTCCGGCGCCGCCACTGGCGCGCTGCGCTCCACGCGCTAGGCAGGGGGTCCAGCGCACATCCAAGGAAAGCGCGCGGAGCTGCGAAAAACTACGTGTCGACAAGCATCCTCGCGCCGTCCGTGGGCAAATCACGACGGGAGGTCTCTTGGTCACTTTCGGTCTCCCTGGGGCCCTCGCCAACCCCTGGGACCGTCAAAAAACGGCTCGGGACGAACCGTCGGCTCTGGGGAGAAGGTCGGGGCTCCGAGGGACCTCGCAGTGAAACATCAAACCATAGGATCTCTGGTTAGGAGGGGGGGATGGGAGAGGAGCAGGAGGAGGGGGAGGAGATGGAGGAGGGGTGAGGCATCATTGCTCGAGGCTGCTGATGTTATCCTCCCCCGGTTCTCGGAGGGACAGATGATGACTGATGACAATGGCGATGACGGCGATAGCGGTGATGGTGATGGGCATGATGATGCCACCATCCCCAGCAAGATTCCGACGGGAGGGGAAGAAGGAGGAAGAGGAGGAGGATGGGGGAGGGGGGAGTAGAAGGGAGCGAGGAGGAGAAGGGAGGGAGGAGGAAGAGGATGAGGGAGGGAACAATGCGACCAGCTCGGTCGTCAAGAGCCTGGGGCGGTGCACAAATGTCCGGCCACGGCGGCTGACACATTGCTGGCTCAGGCGCGTGCGGGGTCCCTGGACGAGAACTCTTGCAGCGATGCTGCGTCCGCCACCGCGCTTGCAGCGGTCGGAGTGCGTCGGACCCCTCCGCCTTCTGCAACGCGTCGGGCCTAACGTGCGCTTAGTTGTGTAACCAAGTCCCTGCGCCCTGGGCCTTCCCAAAAGCAAATGGTCCCAGATGCGAGGATCAGGAAGGGGGGGAAGGGTGCGGTAAACCAGAAGCATTTCCCAGCCCCCCCCCCCCGCCCCCTTTCGCCCCCCCTGGCCCCCTCCGGGGGCGGGGGGGGGGCCACAAGAACCGCGACGGCGGGAGGGGGAGGTCCATGGCCCCTCCTCCCTCCTCCTTCCAAGGAACCCTCCCCCCCCCGCCCGCCCGAGAGCGGTGGCGGAATCGTGCGGCAGCGCCACTGGATATTATATACATCTACATATACATATGCTCATACATATACATATGCATATGCATATACATATGCATATACATACACATAAACATAGACACACACACATATACATATACATATACATACATATATATATACCTTACGGGTGCACATATATACACACATATATACATACACATACACACATACATCTACACATACATAACTATACACATACACATACACATACACATACACATACATTTACAACTACAACTACAATTACATATACATACACATATAACTACACACATACATACCCACATACCTATATATATACACATACACCTATACGTATACATATACATGTATGTGTACATGTGCATAACCAGAAACATAACTACACATATAAGCGTGTATATATATGGACGCACGCCAGCGTCCCCGTGTGTGTAGGTTCACCTCTCTATAAAAAAAAAACACCTTCATACCATCTACTTCGATGTGCACATCTCACGTACGTGCAGGAATTTCAATTTCCGTGCGCACGCTGGAAACTACTCGGGCCCAGCCTGGGCACGGAACTCGGGGGGGCTGGGTCGCAGGCGCCCTAGGAGGGCCCAAGGCGGCCCAAGAGGTCCTGAAGAGACCACCAATCGGCTACACGCAGGAGTGACCCTGGGTAAGAGTGACCTTTGGTGCGCGGCCTTTAGGGGGGCCGCGGGGGGGCCAAACACAGGCGCGCAAGGCTCTACTATCGCATCGCGTTCGGATATCGGGGGGCCCCAGTGGGCCCGCACCAAAGGTCACTCCGGCGGAAGGTCACTCTAGCGTCTCATCGAACCAAGACGACCAAGACGGGCCAAAGCCGGCCCACGATGGCCGCAAGACAGAGCAACAGGCCCCCGAGACGGCTCAATTGAGGGCCCTGAGAGGACCCCAGAAAAAGGCCCTGGAGATGCAGAAGTCAGGGATACTCTCTGATTTAAAACTTGTTGTGCGATCTTAGCACACTCGCTTTCTCCGTCTGCACGGACGCGCTCGGCGACTAGGGTTTCGTGGCATCTCGACTCACGTTGAGACCGTTTGAGACCGCTCGGGACCGCTGCTGGGCCTCGCCCTGCGTCTTGTTTTGCGCCACTTATAGTGTTTGAAACCTATCCGACGCGGACTCGTTACAGTGCTAGGTAATAAGAGGGCCCGGGAGTCTCGAACTGGTTTGAGCCAGGGGGTCGCTGGCCAGACGCGCTCCACGCGGCGCAGGACTCGAATACACTGTGTGGCCCACATCGGCTACGCGTGCGTGCGTGGTGCGATGTGCGCCTGCTGGAAGCCACCCTCAACCAGACATGTATACATGACGAGACCGCCTTGCAGAGTATCCACATTTGTCTTTCCATGTGCTCCTCCGCCTGCAGCCTCCTCGGTGAGCGGCAGGTGCGCTGCAGCGCTCGAGGCTGGAGGTACAAATAGCCTCAGGTCGGGCCTGTCCCCCTACAGGGGCATTTTTGACCAAAAATTATAAATATTTACCCAATGCTCCCCAAATGCTCCAAAATAGTCTAACATAATCCCCAGACGATTATTTGTTTGACTATTTTTGCATATCCCCCCTGTATATGGACAGGCCCGACTTAAGAATAGCCAGGAGTGCCGTCCAGGACGGCCCTACAGGGTGGGGGGGGCGGCCCCGCCGGGTAGGGGCGGGGGGTAGGGTGGGGGCATGATGATGGCGATGATGACGAGGAAGAGAAGGAGGATCACGGTAAGACGACAAGGAAAGGGCAACGCATCTGTCCATGATCCGATCGTTTTTTCGATTTCGTAGGTCCTGGTCGTCCTCCTGCGCCTCCTGATCCATCTCCAGGCTGCTGCTGTTACCTGAACTGTTCGCCTTGCTCCTGAACCACCTTCTCCTGCCCCTCATCATTCCTCTTCCTACCTCCATCCGTCCTCGATCATCCGTCCATTCTTCCTCATTGATCATCATCGATCATCCGTCCTCGATCCTCTCCACCCATCCTTGATCGTCTGTCCTCCTCCCCCTCCTCTTCCTCCTCCTACGCCCTTCCTCTCTCATCCTCCCATTTCTGGTTCCACCGTCCCCCTTTGCAGGTACGTATCGCTTGATAAGCTCAGCGACGAAAGCGACGATCACGACGACGACGACGAACAAATCGACGACCACGCCGACACCAACCACGATGACGACGCCACGACGAGGCGATAACGGTGATGACGGCGGCGGCGGTACGACCGCGGCGAACATCCGGGTGTTGCGAAAAGTGGCCCTGGTCCAAGGTGGCCTCAGCTTCCACAGGGAGGTGCACATGGGTCCCCGAGACCCCCTCAGGAGGCCCGGAGCGCCACATAATGCCGCGAGAAGCGGGAAACACTTTCAAGGCTAGGAGCTAGGACCCCTTCTCAAGAAGAGCAAAACAACGAAAAACTGCACACTCATAAACTTTCGGAGGTCCGCGTGGATGTCTTGGATGTGCGCTGGACCCCCCCTCTGGAGCGTGGAGTGCGCAAATGGCAGGGGTCCAAGAGCCGATCCAAGAAATCCGCGCGGACCTCAGCCGAATGGTTATGCTTGTGAATATTTGTTCGACGCGACCCTGCGCTCGCGCGGGCGGGCGACTACGTCGCCGACGAGAACGCCGACCGGGGCGGACGAAGACGATGACGACGACGACGCCGACGCCGCCGACGACGAGGATGAGAATGAGTGGGTAAACCAAAAGGTATCGATACCGAAACTCAACGGACCTCTCCCAGGGTGCGTTCTGACCAGAATTTCGAGGCGAATCCAGCGGTGGCGACGAGGACCTCCCAGGAGGCCCAGAAAGGGGGAAGGGCAGCAGCGTGGGTACCTTCTCCTCCTCTGGGTGAGGACGACGACGAAGACGAGGACGACGACCCTTAGATCCGACGTCTCGAAAAAATTGACACACAGTGAAAAGTCGCAACTAGAGCCTTAGACCCCACCTTTCTGCGCCAATTCTCTAGCCAAATCGATCCGTGAAGGTCCCGTGGTCCGAAACCGGGCGAAAAACACCGGGCTTGAAAAAATCGAGTCGCCAGGACCTCAAGGGAAGACGACGCCGCCGATGACGAGGCACCGCCGCGGCGAAAGGCGGCACCCCTCGGCCGCGGGGGGGTCCTCGGGCGCGCGGGCGCGGAGCTGCGCCGCCAGCCACCCGAACACGGCGGCGCCAGCCTGCCGCACGCCGGCAGCTCCACCCCCTCCTCCTGCTTATCCTCCTTCTCCTCGGGCTCCTCCTCCTAGTGCCTCTCCTCCTCCTCCCCCTCCTCCTCCTCCTCCTCCTCCTCCTTTTCCTCTTCCTCCTCCTCCTCCTCCTGAGCCGCCTCCTCCTCCTCCACCGCCTACTCCTCTTCATCCTCCTCCTGCTCCCCTCTCTCATCGCAGCGCTGCGGCCAGTCTGGCGAGCGGTTCGGGAAGACGCCCTACCCGCGGGTGGGGCCGACGGCCAGCTGTATGGCCAGCGGCGGCGGCGGCAAGCAGCAGCCGCTGCAGGCATTCGCTCGGCACTCGGACGGAAAGGGAGAATCGCAGGACTCGAATCGATGTCGGATCGTCGTGAGGACAGGAGAGGAGAAAGAGGGCCCCCCCGAGGCAGGGGGTGTGCCTTGGCACTGGGGTCGGCGGTGTGACCAGTCCAACACCGACCCCGCCTCGAGTAGCTCTCGCCTTGGCGGTATACTACTTCCTCCTTCGGAGGCAGCCGTCAGCTCTGGTGGGGGTAGGGGTCCATCGGCCAAATGTGGGCCCATTGGCCCGTGAGTGAGTGGGGCTCCCAGGACCACCCGTGCTTTCCACCCCAGAGCTGTACTAAAGAACTTGCAACTGCTACTTCGGGCCTGGTCTGACCGACCTCGCCTACTCCTGGCAGGTTGACTGTCAGGAGTGAGCTGTCCGTCCTTGCCCTAAACGCGCTCAGTGTGTTCCTGAGCTCCAGCATCTGGCTTGGCACCAGATTCCGAAGCTCTGTCACCTCGGGCATGCTGGAGAAGGCCGTCCTGCACTGCATCACCGTGGGGATGCTCTGGAGCGCCGCGTGAGTGGCCAGCATCACCCCAGCCCTCAGCGCGTCGTTCTCCTCCATCTGCTTCTTGCGCTGCGTCTTCTCGGTCGTCCAGCTGCCCGATATGTTGTTCTTTCTCGTCTCCTGGGTGTCGTGGCATTCTGGCATCTCCACTATGACCGCCGCGATTCGTCCGTCGTCTATCTGCGTGCGCCATTGCTGCAGGGCGTCCCACCTCAGCTCCGTGAAGGCCAGGTCGACGCCGCTGCAGTCATTCTCGGTATTCGCCGCCCTCGCCATCTCAAACTCCATGATGTCTGCGTAGTCTCCTTTCTTGCGCTTCACCGTCGTCGCATACAGCACGGTCTTGGCCGAGTCGAGGTTCGGCGACGGGATGGTCCGCTCTCTCCATTCTGCTCTCATCGGTAACATCGGTATCTCTATGTTCTCGCTACCCTGCTCCGAGTCCGCGCATCCTCCTTTGTGTTCTGGTTCCTCGCCTGCATCATGTCTGTCCTCTTGTGCTTGTTGATATGCTGCTTCGTCGCCGTCATCACTCTGCGTGTGGTCCTCTTTGTTTGGTTGCCTCTTTTCTTTTTTGCTGCATGGGATAGGTGCTTGTTCCACTCTTTATCCTGTTTGCTTCAGCTTCGCCGTGTCGTCCATGTCCTGCTGGTATAGTTTCCATGCCTCTTCCTGTTCCATCGGGTGCTCATTTTTCTTATACCATTTGAGACACTGCCGGCAACGATGTCGCAGGTGTATGATAAGTCTCGGCCGTGTCTGAAAATCTTTCCCAACTGAAATACATAAAGAACCTTGTGCATACAATTGCGCTGTGTCGATTGGGATATGCGTCTTCCTGTGTCTCTTCCATGCTCCTCTTTCCGCCGTCGTAAATCCACATTCGTAACGCATATAGTGTGCGTCCTGGTCTTTTTCCCTCCATGGTATTGCTGCCGTCTGCTTTTGTATCTTGTCAAATTCTCTGTTCCATCTATCATTCATCGCACCGTCAATATTGCTGTCCATTTGTCTTTGCCATGCTTGCCTGCATCGTCTGTCCTATTCTTTCCCATCCTGCCGTATCATATCTATCCATTGTTTTTTGCTTCTAGTAGGCTCCAAGTCTTTGTCGGTCATCTCTGATAGCCACTGAAGATCGCCTTCAATCATGTCCGCCCATGTCTCCTTCCTCTTGATCGTTTCTAACTCATCCAATGCCCTGCGTAGTATCGGCGGCCCACTTTCCACTATCGCCTTCAGGAAGCGTAGTCACCTGTATCTTAGTAGCGTTGGAAGGTCCCCAATCTTTGCCTTGGCATACAGCTCCTTGTCTGTCGTCGGCTCCATTGTTCTGGCCCCCGTCGGTTTCGTTGTGAGTCCCAGTGCCTGTCGAATACCCTTGCCGTACGCCGTCCCCACGATCTTGCTGGCTGTTGTCGGCATCGGTGGCCATGTCTCGCTCTGCCATAATAGCTTGCTGTTGGCGTAGCTCTTAGTGTATTTCAGCTTGTCTTTGTCCGCCAGCCGCGGGTTCTTGCATATCGTCGCCAGGTTTCTCGTCTCCTGCTTGTGGGCCGTGGCTCTCTTCTGCATCTCTGGTCTCCACGTATTGTCTGCCATTTGTTGTGCCCCAAGGTGTTTGCATGCTGCCACCGCCGTAACGCTTTGTCCAATCTCGTCGATATTGACCTGGACCCACTCCTCTTTCTTGAAACGCCTCTTCGCCTCAGAGATATGTGGCCCCGCCAGGTGCAGCGTGGCGGCCGTCTTGCCTGGGTCGTAGTTCGGCTCGAAGCCATACTTCAGCATCGTGACGTGCACCGGTGTGAATACTGCTCTGATGTGCTGCTCGATCTTCCTGTTGTCTGCCACCACTGTTGGAATTGCCGTGTCATCAACGCATGTGGCCTCCGAAATCTCTGCCGCTTTCTCTTCTTCCACGGTATATGTGTACTCAACCTTTTCCCCAACCGTGTGCAGTACACCGAGCGTCCTCAAATGGTCGTTGATCTCATCCAAGGGCCTTTTGTAAATGATGCTGAAGAAGAAATCCGCCGTGGAGTTTCCTGGTCGCCCTCCTCTCTTTGCCGCGGCTGCAAGATCCGTCGTAGGCGGGTGGTGCCACGTTACTCTCGCCGACTCCGATAGCACACATAGCCCACAACGGTGCTGGCATGTCCGCTCCTGCCATTACTGGGGGAGCTTGCAATGCTAGTTGAAGTAGCGGCCTGAACTGTTCTGGGACGGTGCTGCGCTGAAATATCTCCTCGATGTCCTCGGCCGAGTGGTCCATTGGTACTCCCATTGATCTGATTACTTTGTAGAAGGCATTTTTCAAATCCACATATATCATAAGTGTCGGCTTTCCTTTTCTTGCGATCAGTAGCGTCGTCGTTCTGATCAGGTGGCCTGCCATTGGTGCTCCCATTCCTTTCCGTCCACCCATCTGTGTATCTCGGATGATATGGCTGATAAGTTGCCCCAGTGCCGACCGTAGCCACTTGTGGTAGTGCTTGCCCACCACGCTGCTGAGGCTGATGTTGCGGTAGTATTGCCACTGCATCTTCGACTCACTCGTTTTTGGTATCCCACACAGCGTGGCCTCCTTGAATGCAAGAGGTTCCTGCAGATATAGTGCCGTCTTGAGGTGTACAAGGTACCACCATCTAACCGAAGATTTCGCCGTCGTTTTCAGTACGTCGTCTAATGCGCCGTCGGGTCCGCCTTTACGTCGTCTCTTTGCCATGGTATAGCTCCGCTGCATCTCATAGTACGTCGGCACCGTGCTAATATCTTGAACAAAGATCGCCGCATAATCGTTTTTTCTTTTGTTATATATATATATATATGATCGGCTTCTTGCTTTGTCATGATCTCCGCGTCCTCCACCCTTGCAAAGTGCCGCAACATCGCCTCGTCCGCCTCCTCTTGTGACTTCGCTGGTTCTCCGTCGATGTTTTCCCGAGCTGGCAGCCGACCTCCCCCAGCAAATGTCTTGTTCTTTTTCCACTCATTTTCAAAAAGATGTCCACCTTATTCCATTCTCGTTCATGCTGATGCTGTTGTGTGTGGTCCGCAATCTCAGCTGCCGTGTCGCCCAGTAGTTTCGCTTTGTCTTTTTTCAGCGCCCTTCGTACATGTGTCTTGGTTAGCTTCAGGAACTGGTCGGCTCTCCGCGCCATCCTATCCGAATCTATGACCCCCTCGTTGTATGTGTCCAGCGCGAGCTGCAACATGTTGGCGGTCGGCCTCCATTCCGTATCTTCTGGCACAAGTTCCTCCATCTGGCCTGGTAGATGTCGTGCAAGTAGCGTGAAAGGCCCACTCTGCTTGGTCATGTATCGCCTCTTTGCCTTTTGCACGTATCTCCTTAGCCTGACCAATCCCATTGTTTTCCTCGATATATTTGGCTGAATCGCAGTCTTCTTATCCTCAGCGAAATTGTTTTCAGATAGCATCCTGTGCTGCTCCGTCGCAAACTCGCAGTGCTCGTTTACCCCGACGCTCCAGTGCGGTAGCATTGTTGCATCCAGCTCCATCTGACATTTTCTGACAAGATCTTATTGCTGCAACTTTCTGAGGTCCAGTCGTTTGGCGTAATGCGTCTTGTCCCGCTTTTTTCCTTCCGCGCCGATGTCTACAATCAACGGGATGTGATCTGGATGGTTTGTCCCATGATCCCAGTCAGTCAGTGCTGTGGTAGATGTTGCCGCTGAGAAGAGGTGAGGTGCCAGCATGACATGGTCAATATGCTTGAGCGTTGTATTCCACTGCCTCGGGTTGTTTTTCTCGTCAGGCCTGTATATGTATACGTATGTGCACTTCTCCTTCCTTTCAAAGTGCGTGTCCGTGGCAATCAGGTCGTACTCATTGCCAAAGTCCATCAGGTCCTTGCCGTTATCGTCTATCTGGTTCGCAGCGTGTTCACCAACTACGTGTTCAAATCCTTCGCTCCTGTGAATCTCGCCATTCGCGTCCATGGGTACGATGGTGCATGTGTATTTTTGTGCTGCAATATTTTCGTTTCCGTCCACCATTCCGATCTGAGCTTCTTTTTGTGATCATGATGAGGTGTGTGGAATGCGCCAATCACTTCGTCCACTAGCGGTGCCTTTACCCTCACGATGTATCGCCGCGGGTCTGCATGTAGTTGTCGAAAGTGTGAGACCGGCAGGCGCTTGGGTCCTGATCTTGTGTTCGCGTATGGCTCAGTTGAGTTGAATATCAGCCCACATCCCAGGTTACCGTTGTCGTCCCCGCCTGATAATAGTACACATCCATCCATCCTGGTTGTGCCTGGTGGTTGCCGTGTTTCTTGTACCCCCCACGATGTGTATCCCATTCTGCACCATCTGTATTCTCGTGAGGCGCCCTCGAAAAGGTTGCTTTCGTTCCTGGTCCTCTTTATGCTCCATCTCCTGGCCGTCCGCCCCCATCGCCATCGCGTTGTATGTGCCAATCCTGAGGTTGAGCATCGTTGGCATCGATTCCGTCGCCTCGCTGTTTGCCTCTGTCCGTTTATCCACTTTTCCTTCCCAGAGGGTCGGTACTCTCTGCCTGCCCGATTGCCAATCCGCGGCGAGACGAGGCGTGGGTGAGGTGCGCAGTGCGTGCCCCGTGGGGTCGGTACCCGCTGCCTCCCCGATTCCTCACTGTCTACATCCAACGGATGGCTGGGGGCAGGTGAGCAGTGCGTGCCCTGGGGATATGTATCAGTAGTTATTCCATCCAACAAACCATTGTTCTTCTCCTTCTCGTCATTGCCATCGTGTCTCTTTGGTGCTGCTGTTGCCCAATGAGGTGCTGCTCTTGGCGCGTCCGTCCGCTGCTGCCCGTAGTCAAATTCCCATCCATTCTTTCCCATGGCCGTTGCCTCAGGTGGTTGAACACTTAGGTATGCATGCGTATCCGTACCATTGGCTTCCAGCAGTATGCTCCATTCATTGTCCCGTTTGTATGTAAGCTTATCTATCACGTCTGCGTACGTTTGTGCAAAATCTGATCCGTGTGCTGCCGTATGCTTTGCTATCGAGTCCGCCAACTCGTTCCACGGGTGCCCGTCATGTGCTTTGACGTAAAAGCTGGTAGTCCTCATGCGTCTACGTATTTCTGCCGCCGTCAAAGCCGTCAGTCTTGATAGTTCATAGTCCGATGCAAGTGCGATCGTTCCATCTCCCACCAACCGTACCGCTTCGCAGTCCGTGTGGATGTGCACGTCGCAGTCTCTGTAGTTGGTAAAGGCCGTCAGGCATGCCCAGAGCAGCGCCGTCATCTCGCCCGCATTGTGGTCTGGGTTATCTTTGGTTGTCACCCTTGTCGCTCCCCTGGCCCTGCCCGTTAGGTATCCTTCGTAACTGAACCCGTCGGCCGTCTGCTTCGTGATGACTATCGCCCATGACGTGACCTCTGGCTTGGTCTTGTAGTAACTTCCATCCGTGTGTATGTGTATGATATTTGCCTTCTTGTTGTTCGGCGGGCACACTCGTATAACTAATTCCGCAAAGTCATGTAGTTGCATCTGGCTTGTATCCACTTGTATATCAAAAGGCTGCCTCCGACGAAGGAATTCCGTGAGCTGCCCCTCTGGCTGGATCTCGCACTGAACCTGCGGTACCTGCTCTGGTTCATGGTGCACTTGTTCTGGGAGCCGCTCATCTTGAAGTCGCTTCTGAGCCTCCACGCGATGAGCTTCATGAGATTCATGTGCTGCACTCGCGCCTCGGCTAGGTACCTCCCCTGCATGTTCGTCATGGTGTCGAGGGGGTCCTTCGTCATCTCCGTCGCTCTGGTTGTGCCGCTTGATTGCGTCCTTCGTGACATTCCAGTTGCCCCTTCCTCTTCCGTCTGAGTCTGATCTAACTACGTCGAGGTCCAGCGTCCTCGGGTCCCCGTCTGTTGCAGGGCGTCTCGGCATCCTCCTATCATCTGCTTGTTGCCCGCGTCCGCGTTGTAGGTTACCCACTTCAGTCGCGCCAGCTGCTCGCAGATGTGGTGGCCGATCCTTCGCTTCCTCATGAGTGCCGTCGATGCTGGCGCAGTGCCCCTGGCCCCCAACATCGTTGCAATCGACCTCACGAAACAAATTCTTGCCAAAATGGCTTGTCATTGAATTCAGTGGTGGCGCTTTCCTGCATAACTTACTAGAGGGTTGTCGAGTCCCTGCTTCCTCGCGATGGACAACTCGCTGATGACGGTACAACTGTCGGTGTCGAGCTCGAGCACGTCGCCGCTCTATCCCGCTTTCGCCCTCGGTGCCAGCTAGAAGTTGCCCATCTGGTGGCCCCCTACTGGGGGCTGTCTCTCGGATCCGTAGCCCCCGACCCCCCCCCTGTGTGGCGGGGTCGCGGGCGGGCCCTAAAGGCCCACTTTTTGTGGACGTCCTCCGTGTCGTTCGGGTCACCTGCCGTCTTCTGCCTCGCTGGTCCTCGTGCCGCACTTGCTGCGCTGTCCACTTGCCTGGGCGGCGTCATTGCAAAGAACTGTGGCCTCCTCCTTTTCCTGCTGTTATTTTCCTCCTTCTGCTTCTCTTCCGCCTCCGTGTCCGCAGGCTCGGTGTCCATCTCCTCATCGCTACTTCCAGGCACTTGGATGCGCTCTGGTTCTTTTCCTTCCTGCGCCCTTTTCTGCTGCTCATCCAGCGAGACCGTGCTGCTGATGTCATCTCCACTCTTACTTCGTTCTACGGTTCTTGTATATTCCTCCTCATCCTCTTCCTCCTTCACTGCTTCCTCTGTTCCTTTTTGTTCTGGCAGGTATATCTATGAGAGGGAAACCGCACCGATCGTGTACCTCGACTCCATGTCTGCTTGCTGCATGTTACAGTGCTCCGTCTTCATGGCTTCCCCCTCCTTTCTGATCCTTTCCTCCTCCTGTGCGTCGTCGATCCGCTGCTGTGCTGCCTCCTCCTCTCTTCGCCGCAGCTCTTCCTCTTCCTCCTCAAGCCTCAATTCCTCCCCCCTTGCTTGGTGATGTCTCTTGGCCTCCTTTTGTTCTTGCTGTCACTCCCAGTCATAGTCGTCCTCCTGTCCTTCTTCCTCGTACCAGTCCCTGGACGGTTGCGTCTCTGTCTGGGTTGGGTACCACTCGCTGCCTGGCCTCCACCTCTGCTGGTCCCAGTCCCACCAAGCATTTTCGTCGTCCGTGTCTGGGCCTTGATTCGGCATGAGGCGGTCTACCCATTGTTCTGTGTGCTCCATATACTCGGCTTCTGCTTCCTCCTCCCTTCTTCTTGCCTCTTCAGCTACCTGCTCTTCATTTTGCCTGATCATTTCTTCTTCTTCTATCTCCCCCTGTCTCTCTTCCTCAGCTCTTTGATCCTCTCCTGTTTGTGCTTGGGGTCCGAAGTTATGTTTCCTCCTCCATTCTTCTTTGTCGGCCTCCCATTTCCTCACTCTTTCTCTATATTGCCGCTGCTGTCTTTCCGCCTCCTCCTGTCTACGTGCCATCTCCGCTTGCTGTGCTAGCTCTTTTATCTTTGCATCTCTGTTTAGCTGTTCTTGTGCTGCGTGCTGTGCTTCCTGCCATGTCTGTTGTCTCCGCCTTTCCTCCTCCTGCATGCGCTGGTAGCGCACTGCAGCTTCTTTTATTTGCTTCTCTTGTTCTTCCTGCCACTTCTGCTGGTCGGCCGCCATCTTTATCTTTTCTTGCTGGGTCATGCTGGCGTGTTTGGCATAATCCTCCTGCAAGTGCTGCTGCCATCGTTGTGCTTGGGCTCTCATTTCCTCAGCCTCCCTCCTATGCAGCTCCTGTAGGTCTTGTAGTTCTTTTCTGCGTGCCGCATCTCCCTGCCTGAGCCTGTACTCCATTTCCTCCTTTTCTTTTTGTCTCTCTTCTTGCATGTGCTTCATTCTGGCCACTGCCTGCTCTGCTGTCTACTGCATCTGCGTGTTCCGTTCTTGGTCTCCTTGTTGTTGCTGCTGCAGGGCACTCTTCAAGTCCGTGAGCTGCTTAGTGTACTCATCGTATTGTTCCTGTCCTACCTCTTCCGCTGCTTTGGCCCTTCTCGTTGCTTCTTTTACCTGCTCCGCCATGTTCCTGTTCATGTCCACCAATTGTTTTATTTGTTGCTGCATTTGATCCTTAATATTTCGTTCCTCCTCCTTGCTTTCCTTGAGTCGTGCAGCCTCCTCCTTCGCTCTCCGTGCCCTTCTGGCTTCTCTTTCTGCTTGCTCTTTTTGCTGCTTGTCCTCCTCCTCTCTCTGTTTCTCCTTTGCCTTAACCTTCTCCTCAAGCTTCCTTCTTTCTTCTTCCTCTTGCTCCGCCTGCTTCTTCCTCCTAATCTTATATTCTTCCTCTTGTGTCTTTTTCTTCTGGTACACTTTGCGCCTGCCGTCGCTGTCCGAGCTGTTCGTCTCTGTGCTCGATATGTCTCCTGCTCCCCTCCCCCTCCTCCTCCTCCTGCTCCTCCTCCTCAGGCCCCTCCGCCTCCTGCTCCTCCTCCCCCTCCTTCTCCTCCTCCCCCTCCTCCTGCTCCTCCTCCTACTCCTTCTCCTCCTGCTCCTCGTCCTCCTCCTTCTCGTGCCCGTCCTCCTCGTGCCCCTCCTCCTCGTCCTTCTCATCCTCCTCCTGCTTCTCCTCGTGTTCCTCCCCCTCGTGCACCTCCTCCCCGTCCTTCGCCTCCTCCTCCTCCTCCTTCTTCTCCTCCTCCTCCTCCTCCTTGTGCCCCGATTCCTCCTCCTCCTCCCTCTCCTTCTTCTTCTCCTCCTGCTCTTCCTGCTCCTCCTGCTCCTCCTGCTCCTCCTCCTCCTCCTCCTCCTCCTCCTCCTCCTCCACCTCGTGCTCCTCCTCCTCCTTCCTCGCCACGTAACCAGGCCCCCTGCTTAGAAACTCACTAAAAGTTGCTTGCGTGGATGGTGGGATGCTCCACGGCCAGCCCCCCCCCCCCCACACCCCTTCCATGCATGCCGAGAACTGATTGCACGCTTCCCGGGCCCAGCACAGAGCGACGAGGCGGCGAGGGATGCGGGAGGCAGCATGCCATGCAAGTAAGCTCGTCGGAGTCTAAAGGATCCCATCCTCGTAAA